GTCTTTTTTGATGTAGTCTTGCTCTTGTTCCCCAGGCTGGAGGGCAGTGGTGCAATCTGGGCTCACTGCAACCTCTGCCTCCTGAACCTCTGACAGGTGCAGGTGATTCTCCTGCTTTGGCTTCCTGAATACCTGGGATTACAGGTGCCCACCACCATGCCTGGCTAATTTTGTATTTTTAGTAGAGACAGGGTTTCACCATGTTGGCCAGGCTGGTCTTGAATTCCTGATCTCAGGTGATCTGCCCGCCTCTGCTTCCCAAAGTGCTGGGATTACAGTCACGAGCCACCATGCCCAGCCTAATTTTGAAAGAATTACTATTTGAACCAAAAAGTCTATATTTAGCCAACTTATCTTTCACATATATAGGCAAGAAAAAAATTATAGTAAGATAAGCAATTATACATGTACTCTCCTGAAAACTACTTAAAATCTACAACAGTACAAAGGAAAAAAAAACAAGAATGGAAGATAAAAAGAATAGAAGTATTAGAAGTGAGCATTGACATCATTTAGTCATAAAATTAAGTTTAAATGATCTAGTATATATGCTCATTCATTCAAAGCAAATTTGTTGAGTGCCTCTGATGTCAATTCTTTCCATTTAAATCCATGAATTTAATGTAGTTCCAATTAAAATGCCAACAGGATTCTTTGAAGGTTAAACACTTACACAAGCAAATGTGTGAAAACAGCTTCATATTTTTTAGAAATAAAATTCAAGCATGCGAAATTGTTCTACAAGTCACCAGAATTTATTACGATGGTACAGTAATGAAGACAAATGGTACTAGCATTAGATAGAAACATTCATAGAGCTGAATGGAGAGCCTGGAAATAGTACAGGTACATAGAACAGGAGGAAAAGTATTGACTAACTAAAGATACGGGAAGAACTGTGATCTGTAAAGGCAAAGTACAAAGTCAAATAATTACTACATACCATATGCAAAACTAAATTCCAGATAATAGAAACAACAGAGATCCTTTAAATATTCCAGAAAGAATATCCAAAGATTATTCTTACAGAATTCTGGCAAGGAAAATGTTCTTAAGCAAGATCCAAAAGCAGAAGTAATAAAACAAAGGATAACAGCACACACAAAGTTACAAATGCACTATGACAACATATAGATAACTAGTTGAAATGAGAGAATATTTGCCACATATATAGGAATATATATACTATATATAGAATTATATATTTATAATACAAATGACCTATAAATCAATAATGACAAAGATAATAATGTGCAGCTCATACTAAAAAATGAATTTTATTTTAAAACCCCAAAAGGTTAATAAATGTACTGAATGATGTTCAGTGTCATTAGGAAGATGCAAATTAAAACAAGATACCAATTTTTCATTAACGAATTGGCTAAAAATTATGAAAGATTAATAGGAGCCAGTGTTAGCAAGAGTGTGGAGGGAAAGGCAATTGGGAGGTGAATTTGGCAGCAATTATCGAAGTGTAAATTTTACATGCTCTTCATAGCATAATTCCACTGCTAGGAATCTATGTAACACAAAAATGTGCAAAATGTACACTATACTAGAATGTTTATTGCTGCATTTAAGTTATTAGTTAAAAATAGCCAACTATATTAACAGACATAACAATAGAGGAGTAATTTAAAAAGTTAAAATGGTGTGTTGGTTCTCGATTGACTTTTTGTGTAAATGGATCCCTCCCTCCCTTTCTCCTTCAGTGGTTTGTGTAGTAAGAGATCATCTTCAGCTGGCTGCTTTTTCTGGCCTCCTCTCTCCACTGGCTTTTGACTCATTGAGTCTGTGCTAGTCTATTCTCATACTGCTATGAAGAACTACCTGAAGGAGTAATTGTAAAGAAAGGGGTTTTAGTTGGCTCACTGTTCTGCAGGCTGTACAGGAAACATGGCCAGGGAGGCCTCAGGTAACTTTCAGTCACAGTAGAAGGGGAAGCAGGCCTGTCATAATGGCCAGAGCAGGAGGAAGAGAAGAGAGAGGTGCTACACACTTTAAAACAACCAGTCTCGCAAGAATCCACTCATTATCAGGAGAACAACAAGAGGGTAATCTACCACCATGATCCAACACCAGGTCCCTCCTCTGGCCTTGGAGATTTGGGTAGGGACACAAATCCAAACCATGTCATAGCCTAACGGGAAGTACTGTTGAGAGATTGGTCAGCAGCAAGAAGGGAAAAGCCATAGTACTTCTCTTCCTTCCCTCTCTGCCGTGGCTATTATTTCTGGCGTTGACTGGCTTTCCTCCATGGGAAATGCTCTTGTTAGACAAGCCAGTCGTGATCCCAACTTTCCTGGACAAAAATGCTTCTGTCTAGCAAGAGCATTTCCCATGGAAGGTACAGCCCCTTCTCTGCCTTCTCCATTTGTCCCTACAGTTTAGCAATGCTAGTGGCTTCCTATTGGTAGTAATCTCTAGATTGCCTCTTTTTTCCTGCTTGGCTTTTTACTTCTCCCATCATCTGTGTAACAACATTTTTGCATAAAATTGCCTCTGCTTTAAAAAGTTAAAAATAATTTAGTGTTGCTGATTGAAATGGACACACTTTTGCAGCCAGTAAAAACAAAAAAAGTATATACCTGTATAACCATATACTGAAAAAAAAAATGTTCCTGATAAGTTATTGACTCCAAGAGGAAAGTTGCTGTATCTTATGTTTGATGTGGTCCATTAAAAAACTGAATGATTGTGTGTATATAGAAATGTATTTGTATAATAACAATGATAATAACCACTCTTTGTGGAGAAAAACAGATATGGAAAAACTCCACTAAGAGGATACGTTATCCCTGTGAAATGAAAGCGAAGGTGTGCACACTTACTGAGAAGAAAGGATCTTGTAACTTTCTACTTTATATATAGCTAATTTGTTTGGATTTTTTTCTCTCATAATGTATCATATTGTTAATTTCCAAAAATTTTTTTAAAGCAGTTAATAAAACATTATGCCTAATATGATCGTTTTTATTAAATTTCTTTTGAGACAGAGTCTTGCTCTGTTGCCTGGGCTAGAGTGCAGCGATGCCATCTCTGCTGTCTGCAACCTCCACCTTTCAGGTTCAGGGAATTCTCCTGCCTCAGCCTCCTTAGGAGCTGGGATTACAGGCGCCTGCCACCACACCCAGCTAATTTTGCATTTTTAATAGAGACGGGGTTTCACCATGTTGGCCAGGTTGGTCTCAGACTCCTGACCTCACTTGATCCACTCATCTCAGCCTCCTAAAGTGCAGAGATTGCAGGCGTTAGCCACCATGCCCAGCCACTTTTATTGAAAATTAATAACCATATGTATTTATTTGTAATGGGAATTGTCTGAAAGGACAGTCAATTCTGCTGTAACATGTGCTTTGAGTTTAAATTTGTTCCAACATGATTAATATACTAGAAAATAATTTGAGCATACTACCTATGCTCATGTGTGACTTTATTCAGTGAAACACTGTAGATGAACTTTAGAAAACTGAACTGAAAAGGTGAAAGGCTTAGGATGCACAAAATGCATGCACGGCTGACAGCAGCACCCTCACTTCACCTATGTGTTGTCACCATGACACCCATGTGTCATACTACAACTTTCTGTCTGATGTCAGATAGCCCGTATTTCAACAAGCTAAAGTAACTTGCGGTTTGCAAATCTTCCAATGCATAACTTTCAAAACAAGTTGCAGGTCTTTTTCAAGGTAAAACACCATATTCATTTTAGTGTTTATGTATGTCTTAACCATGTAATGTGTAAAAGTGTGCTACCATTTTTGTTAGACTCTGATCTTTTTTTTTGTTCCTTGTGGATGATTATGAAGTTTTGAGTGTTTTACCTTCATTACATTTTTCTCATAAGTCCTGTGGTTTTCATTGCACAATTTTGTATAGTATGGTAATTTTCAGGAATGCATATATCATATTATAGCAAAACGGACTGTACATGTACCAAGATATTGATAGTGTTTTGGGCAGTTGTTATTGCTTATCTACAGTTTCTATATTTTTTGCTTTTTTTGTATTTTTTTAATTAAACTTTAAGTTCTGGGGTACATATGCAGAACGTGCAGGTTGGTTACATAGGTACACATGAGCCATGATGATTTGCTGCACCCATCAACCCATCATCTACATTAGATATTTCTCCTGATGCATTCCCCCCACCAGCCTCCACCCCCAGACAGGCCCCAGTGTGTGGTGTTCTCTTCCCTGAGTCCATGTGTTTTCATAATTTAATAGATCTATGTAAACATCTTTAAAAGATGAGATGGCACCTAAAGGATGAATACAGCTATTCTGGGTAAAGGGCTGTGGCTGTTTTGGCAAGCTCCATACATTCACTGGTAAGGTAATAAATTAAGTGCCCTCAAATCTACTTAAAAGGCACAATCACTTACGCTCTTTCTGTGAAACAGAAATAGGTCTCACAGCAACATCTTGGCACCTTCTTTAATCAGAAAGTCCCCATAAGTACTAAGAATACAGATGTGACTAGCCAAGTTTCCACTAAAAAATATAGACTACATAATAAGCCAAATGCCACTAAACTGGTTTTCAAACATTCAGAAGTTGTAATAACATGATTCAGATACAGAAATATAGATAGCCAATAAGGACCCAGATATTCAGTGCTTACTGACTTTCAAGCTATTACTAAGTAGCACACCTATAGCCTGTCCCTGCAAGAGTTAAAGAGACTACAAACTTGAACATGTTGTGAGTTTTTAAATGAGGAGAGAAAATCTTTTTCTATGTGATTTGATGCTTGAATTTCCATCCACTTTCTCAGTGTGACCTTAGACCTGTGTTATCACTTTTCTTCTTTCCAAGACACTATCGTGATTTTTTTTTTCTCTTCTTTTTTTAGTAGTAACTTGCTCCACCTACAGTCAAATTGCATGGTATGACTTTGATTTGAGTGTGAGTCCTCTTTTTCCCTGCCCCACATGCCCTGTTTCTGGCCTAGCGCCCACTGAACTCTGAACTTGTTCTTGAGCCTTGTATGTTTCTGTCTCTCTGAACAAAATCTGCTGTTGACTGTGCTCTCTGTGGAGCGTTGGTTTTAGCTGTTCTCTGACAAAGAGCTTGTTCTGAGCTGCACGTCTCGTCCTCGCTTTTCAGCCTCTGGCTTCAGCCGCTGAATCCCAAATATTCTCCAGCTGGGAATCAGACAAGGGCAGAAATGAAGAGCCCAGAAGCCCGACACGAGGTTTCAGTTTCCCAGGGATTTCGCGCGATGTTTTACATGATGAAGCCCAGTGAAACTTCATTCCAAACATTAGAAGAGGTGCCTGATTATGTAAAAAAGGTGAGATTATATTGGAAGAGGCTACTTTGACTCTTGCTTCTTTCTTAAGAAATGGTAAGGTCAACCTCCTGAGCGTTGTGTTCACTTTCATTATTTGAATTATTAAATTCTAATAATTCAGTTTCTTAAAGGCAGGAAGCAAAAGTAGAATGTCGACTTGAATTGAATTTCCTTACAATCCGTAGCATCGTCACCTGTAAATTCCCTCCTTTATATGTCACTCCAGAATATCATAAAAACAAAATCTTAACGTTTTCCTGGACTCCGTGGCATTGTAAATGTAGCTGTTGGAAGCTCAATGTCAAATAGTTATACCATATCAGTAAAGTTAGTAACAATTTCATTTTTAAATCTTTAGCTTGTCCACCTCTTCCAAGGAAACTATTTCCTCTTTCATTTGGTAGAGTAGTTCTGCAGAATGAAGGATATGCAGCTTGACCAGGTCCAACTCTGACTTCCTAAGTTTGAATGTGAACCAAGTTTTCTTTGAAACTTTGAAGTGCTCAGAGGTACATTTCACTTCTGGTTCTTGGCTATGATTGAAAGTGGAAATACCCAGAATTAGAACTTGAATCCTGAAGTTCCCCAGCCTATCAAAGTTGTTCCTACAACACTCACTAGTTCAGGGGAGAAATAGAAAACAAAATTGACATCACACACTATGTTATTGAGAGTTCAGTTTAGAAAGCTTCAAAACTCATGATTAGTTTCCAAATAAGTAAAATCCATATCTTTTTCAAGATTAGATATTATACTTGCTTTCTGATTTTTAAATAGAAAAAGTGGCACTGATATCTTTATAAATTATTATTGCTTATACTGCAACACCAAACCGAATTAAATACTCTAGTGATCAATAGTGGAGCCTTCAAAACGTCACTTATTATGTGAAACGAATCAAAACCAAATGAATAAAATGTGACTCATATTTTAAGCAAACATGTAAAATTACCATATTTTCTAAAATTCTAAGAAGAAAATTGTCTCTACTCTTTCAATTTCATCATTAGAAGTATAGTTCTTGTAATTCTAACACCAAAATTAGAATTTTGTGCATCTTTAAGGAAAGCCTCCTGAAGGGGATCTAGATTATACATATAGAGACAATAGACTTCTAATTATTTGCCTTATTCTAAATTTATTTTTAATGTAATTTGGAAGATGTTCCTCCCAATCTTATAATTTTATAATTATCATGGTTATATCTATGATTATATTTCATATTCAAATTGGATGATATAATTTGAGCACATATTTAGCGTATGTCTAAAACAGACTTCTCTGCCTACTGTGTAGGAAGCAATCTTCTAGAATGGGTGTCTACCATCTCCTGCGGGGCTTCCCAAATCTGGGCCTCTCAAATCTGACGTGACTAATCAGGAAATGTAAAATAACTTCATATGGAACATAATAGCATCTCTTTTCTGCAATTTCCTTTCTAGGCAACTCCATTTTTCATTTCCTTGATGCTGCTTGAACTTGTTGTCAGCTGGATTCGCAAAGGGAAGCCACCGGGTCGTTTGGATGATGCTTTAACATCAGTCTCAGCTGGTGTTCTGTCACGACTTCCAGGGTAAGTTAGATGGGTTAACAACGCTGAGTGAAAACACTGAAATTCCCTACGTATGAGGGGCAAAGGAACCCACTGCATGGGAGAATTAGTCTATTTACACAAATTTTCCCAAGGACTTCAGTTCATGCTATTATTTAAAATTTTGATATATTGTTCTTCATTGATTTTTTTGCACTCCTTTAAAAAATTACCCTAAATATTATTTATCTTGACTTTGTTGATATCCCTTCAAAATGAGTGTTTCATTTGCCTTATTGTGATTCCAGCTCTGAGTTATGATCTAGTTCTCAATTCAAATTGTATTTGCCTCTGCCAGGCTCAGAAAGAATAGCTCTCTAGAGTGTAGACACTCCCTAGAGCAGCTCACACAAATCTCTGAATAACTACAATGGTTTCCTAATTGGTGTCTGGCTCTAGTGCAACCCCGTTTGCAGCCAAACATTTCCATAATATGAATCCAGTAGAAACCCCTCACTGGTTCCCTGTTGACTCAAGTATAAGGTACGAATCCCCGTTCTGAACTATAGAGAACACGGTCTGTCTGGCTTTACTTTTGGGTCCTCCACTCCCTGTCTCTTTGGCACCTTTATCCCATCATGCTTTACTACTTGTCATTGCCTACATGCCACAGGTACTTCCCTCTGCCTGGAAAGTCATCCATGTGGCCAGTTGAGATTCATTTATTAGGTCTAAGCATAGATGTCACACGCCTCAGCAAGCTTATGTTAGGACATTACAGTCCCATGGAATTTTGTGCTTATCCCAGATCTAGAATTTTCACGTGGCGTCAATGCTCACCTCTTTTCTGCCCAGCCCTTCCTGCTAGTTTGTACACAACTTGAGAGCAAGAGATGTGCGTTCTTCATAGTTTTAGCTCCTGTGCCTGGAATGATGTTTATTGCATGGTAAAGAGTCCAAAAAACAGTGATATTCCTATACTGTTATGTTGATAATAAAATTAGATGATATTGGGACCAAATGATAGTAAGGTGTAAATGACCTACTATTTTTTAGAAAGAGTATATTATAATGCATGTAGAGGAGAGACCAATAAAAGGAAGTCATCTTCAATGCATGTGGGCTTACCAAAGCGGCGGAGGGTGAGGAAAGATTCCCTTCCAAGTCTGTGCTTTGAGCTGCTGATGAATGTTCTCATTCCAGCTTCCCACCCATTGCTTCTTGTCCTGTTTTAAGAGCTTTACTTCTGACTGGTGCTCATTGCTTTGGAATGTTTCTATTAACTGCTCAGTGGGAAACTAAGGTGGATTTTTAAAAAAATAACATTAAAACTTTAAACATCTAAGAAAGGTGGAATAATTTCATATGTTACATAAAATAGTTTAAAAAGAAAGTAAACCTGAAAGTGTTTGTTTTTCAATAAGATTTTGAGAAAAGTATATTATTAAGTATATAGTAGATGTAATATTACTAATACTGACTTTGAAGAACTACTTATAATTGTTGAATTTTGCAGTTGGAATCAGAGGAAGATAATGTCTCCAGAAATTTGCAGCTAATTCTGAGATTATCATGAATAAGAATTTACAATTATAGATAATTTCCTTTCTTATAATACATGTCCCCTTTAGGCAGAAATCAACAAGAAATACATTCAACATATCCAAGGTATATATAGATTTGGATGTAGATAGATTTAGTTATTTAAAAATACCTAGTTGGTTAATTTAGCTCATTCACAGAAATGGTTTATGGAAATCAGATGATTGATAAACTTTAAAAGTCACTTGGTAACTGAGAATTGTCCTGCATATCTGATTATACATCATACAGTTTAGTGAATTGGAATGAATTTGTTAAGCATTTTAACAATGAATTTGACAGCAAATTGAATGAATTCTTCAGCATTTTTATTTTTACCTTTTAAAGTTTGATTTGGTTGCAAATGAAATTAGATTGTTCTCTTATCATAACATCATGGGTACCAGAAATACAAACTGTATCCTCAGTACAATATTTCTGCTCAGCAGTGTTATTTTTAAAAGGTACAGAGTTATAACATGAAAATTAGAATAAAATAGATATTTTTCCAAAAAAAGTATCTGAAAAAGGATAGAGAAAGGTTGGGAGGGCGGGTGGAGAGAGGCAGAGAGAGAGAGAGAGAGAGAGAGAGATAGAGAAAGAGAGAGAGAGAGAGAGAGAGAGAGAGAGAGAGAGAGAGAGAGAGAGAGAAAGAGAGAAGAGGAAAAAAGAAACCAAAACAAACCAGTCCTTCAGGGATAGAACATGCGGTTCTTTTCCTTCACCCACTACTCATAACACTCCTTAAACAAACACAAACTGTTAACTCTGGTGCCCTTTGAGAGAAAGGTAAAAGGTTATGAACTTGAATTTGGAGAATATTTTTCTATAGTTATTTTAAATGAGAAGAGCAAATTACTTATTTTTTTGCCTTGTAGATGTAAAGAACAATTCTAAATGATGAAATACGGATTTTTTTTTAACTTTTACAAAGAATTTTCTCTTTCATAGCCTTGTCTGAAAGATTCCAGTAAAGCAAATTATCTGAAAATGAAATTAATTTTTTTGTTTTGTTGTATAGAAATGTTGTGAAAAACATTTTTATTTTATTTGTTGCTATAAAAAAATTCCAAACCCAAATATAAACTAGAAAGAAAAAGCAAGCCTGTGGATCTATTCCTCTTAATCCCCTTTCAGTAAAAAAAAAAAAAAAAAAAAAAAAAAATGGGAAGAATTTGACATCAATTCTTAAAACAATATTTCAGTTGAAGCCACAGCATCAAGGGGAATCCCTGTGCAAATCATTAACAGCTGAGGGTTAGATTAACACGGCAATGATCATATCCTCTCCCAGGGACCAATTTCATTTTCTACACGAGCAACAGAGGCTTGCTACGTCCTTCGAATAGGTGATTGCATGAAAAATGGTAGTATGCCTTTTGCTCATTCGTTTGTGAAGAATTATGCTTTGGATAATAATTCCAAATAAGCATGTGGCCTCGGACAAAAGAAGTGGAAATGAAGGCAAACACGTTTCACTTTGCCATTCATGTAATAGAAACGCTGTGCGCAGACTTTGAAGAAAAGCAATGTTTTTTCGAGGATCTTAATTTCAGGATTACATAAAATTTCAGATGTCTTAAAGATTAATAGCATACTTACCATGTTGATAGAAAAGACATATGCTACCTCTTTCAAATCTTTATGTCAAGGAAAATATTAACCATGGACAAGATTATATCTTGTTTACAAGCCTGTTGGACAGACCATGATCTGTAATAAAAGTCCATCTGTCCTAAGAACCAGATTCTGGGCAGGCTTGCTTCTGTTGTGCTCTTCTGAAATCCAGTAGGCAGCCTTCCTGGTCAGATACTAGTCAAAGTTACAAACACATATGTCTATTTATTCTTGTTAAACACAGTGTATCATGCAGATAATCTGCCTAACAATTCGTGTCACGTGTGACTGTAAAAAAATAATCTTGATTTAACAACATATTTACCAAATCTATTTTTTAAGCACACGTATCTAAAACTTGTGAAATATACAACTACTGACTTAAACGTTAATGAGTGAAAAATAATCACATTTTTTTCCTCTGCTTGTTTAAGCAGAACTCAATTTCCAATCCTTCATTGGAAACCCGGGAGTTCAATTTGTTACTTCCTTCCAATGTTTCTGCTTCCATAAATTGCATCCTCCCCAGAGAAACTTTATTCCTGATATAAGTATCTACAGTATGTTTGTTTTTAATGGGTTCATTTATTCTGTCGAAACAGCACATTATAAATCAAATTGCAGTAAGTTAGAGGGATAATTTAAGTAGGTAAATTTTCAAATAAAGTTGGGGACACTCCACTTTTAATACATATGGGTCACTGCCAGTTTTTACTGTGGAGCTAGCTCCACAACGTTCAGCCATGTATATGCATACTTTTACTGGCCATGCCTGCCATGGAATTTTCCATTCCTGACAAGAGAGTTTCAATTCATCCAAAAAAAAAAAAATTAAAAAGGAGGAAATTAAACTTCTCTGAAATACTTTTGACTCCTTGGGGTGGGGCCAGAGAATAAAGAAAAATTGTATGTTGGGTTTTTATACCAGGGGCTTTAGCATGAGAGGCTAAAGGTTGCCTTGGCAAATCAGACCTAACAAATGAATGTTTATCATTTTGGATGATGACTTTAATAAGCAGCAATTCATTGTCCAAAAGAAGAGATAAATGAATCTATGAAATGTAAATAATACCTTATTATTAATACTAAATTTTTATTAACTTAGAAATAATTATTAAAAATCCTCACGAAAGGAAGATAAATTTTAATTACTTGTTGGTTTGTTAATTATGCTTGAGAGAATCTCATTTCCTCTTATAATTTGCATTAGAAAACTAATAAATAAACTTTGTCTTTGTTATTAATTATGTAACTTCAGAAACTGCTATTAGAAGAACCTTCCCTGGTGAATGCAAGTTTCATTGCTTATTTGCCCGGATTTGAGTGCTTATTCAGTCGAGTAATATATTTCTTGTAAAGTAAAGAATATAGCAAATTCCTTTCTTCCAAATCTATCACATTGTATTTATAAAGGCTTATGGCTTTATGGTTACTGTTAAGAAGAAATTAAGTGATTGTTTTATAAATGTAATACTATTTCACACTAAGAATTAGTAGTACACATTTTATCTGTTTGTAGATGGTAAAGGTAATATTATCTCTCTTATTATTACCAAGCAAAAATCAATATTCCACTAGATGGAGCAAAAGTGGCAGTAGCTTTACAGATGGGCAGTGCAAACTCCTGGATCCAGCTGAAGTAAATAAGTAACAAAATTTCTTAGAAAAATCTCTCTCTCAGTCTCTCTACACATACACACACACACACACACACCCCCACACACACACATATACAAGATCTAATATATTAATTTATTTGTAACTTCTTGGAGTTTTAAGGATATTTGTAGTAATCTTGTTTAAATATTTATTTTCTGGCTCATGAAACAAGATTATTAGAAATAAAAATATCTATTTTTTTTAGTTTATCATAATCTGGCCAAATAAGAACACTCAGCTACATGATGGTTATGGAATAATTTTAAAGTGGCAGATTCCTATGAGTATAGTACGTAAGTCCGCTTATTCTGAAACCTGCTTTCATATTTCAGAAGTTTGCAATGAGAGCATTACATCAAATGTTACTGGCTTTCTTAGTGACAACAACATGAAAGTCATTTTAGGGTACATTCAGCCTAATTATCTCAGACCTTAAATTAGCACTGAGATGCTGACAGAATGAATGTCATGCCCACTGTCACACTTCTATTCCTGGTGATGGGTAGACTCAGATGGAGATGACTTTGAAAACTCATTAGTTTCTAATTCTCAATCCCCAAATAACATTTATTTCCAATGTATTGATTATTTTTTAATCTCAACATTGAAACTGAACTTTATTTTATAAAAAACCAAGGATTAATACTAAATAGTAATGTAGTAACTCATAAGCTTTTTTTACCGTAACTGAACATTGACAAATTTCTCGTGATGAGAGAAAATGTTATGTAAAATACATAATCAGTTCACTAGTTAAAGAAATAAGCTACTTTTCATTTGCTGAAACCCATACTTCAAACCCAAGAGAAAACTGCTGTTTGGGGGAATTCATGAAGAAAATAGGATCATGGGAGGAAAGCCTCTCTATATGCAGGTTGGTGATTAGAGGATTTTAATGTCTCTTTATGTTTAGATCACTTTCCTGGTCTTACATTCAAACTTAAGGCATAAAAGGTGTCTAGTATTTGGGAATTCCAAGCTCCTGTGCTACCCAATATTCCATCTTCATGTGATAAAGTAAGATCACTATATGCATACATATTATATCTGCCTCTACCCACAGGATGGGGTTTAGAGAATTTAAATTCCCGAGTGCAGAGTCATGTGCTGAGGTTGCAGGGTGGAAGGGATAAGGAGGAAGAGAAAGAGGAAGGTGCTTTGGTTTATGATTCAAGGTCTGGTGAGAACCTTTTTGAAAATGTAGGTGCTGTTTTCTGCAATCCAGGGCTTTACGAGCTTGATAATCATTTCCCAGCTGTCTCACTTAGGTGAATTGTTTTTAGTTGTGGGCATTCCATGGCTATTCTTTCACATGTGTAGTAAAAGAGAATCAGATTCATTTTGCTGATAGAAAGCAGGGAATAGAACTCCCACAGCTGCTTCTCTCTTTCTTCGTGTCTTGAGGAAATTTAGGCTTCGTGCTAATGTGTGTGGGTTGGAGCTGGAGGAAGCTTGAAGGTAGTATGTCAGGCATATTTCAGCTTGGTTTGTGTCAACCCTAGTAAGTCAGTTGATGGACTAATAAATTGGGTGTCTGCTCAAGACCTGGCACCTGTACAGGAAATAGAAAAGTATTTCAATTGCAGACAGGTTTTTTAGAATTTTTATTGATTATTATTATTTTTTACAAATGGAAGTTTTTCAAGGACCTTTTCAGTCTGTTATCAAGATCTTGGTATCTTAATGCCCATTTCCATCGTCACTGGAACTGACAAGGAAGATAGCATATTTTTTTAAAAAAATATTAAACTGAGGGAACATTTATATAAGGCTGGTGGTGTTTGCCCGTTTAATAGTGTGTTCCTGTGTCTTGTGCTATGCCTGGCACTTAGTAGGCTCTTCGTATGAATTCATTGAATGACTGCCTAAATCCATGGACAAATCTGCTTTGATATCATGTGCTAATACTTCAGCTATTAAGCTGTAGATTATTTTAACTTTCTACTAAATTTTGTTTTAATCTTTCTTTCTGGTTCAGTTGTTTTTAGGCAGAGGTTTTCAACTGGGGTAAATTTTGCTCCCCAAGAAACACTTGGAAATATCTGGGGACATTTTTTGAGTCAGCTGGGGTGAGAAGGAGTGCTCCTAAATCTAGTTGCTAAAGAACAGCAATGTTGGAATACATTCTGTGATGCACAGGAAAGGCCCTCAAAACAAAAAATTACTTGGCCCAAAATGACAATAGTGTTAAGATTAAGAATTCCTGTTTTAGAGAAATTGGTATATTGAAGCATATAAAATTAACATTATTTGCCATTTTTAACCTAAAACTTGAATTTGATATGGGTAACTCCTATTAATGAACAACAGTGAGCAATTTTAAGATTTCATAGTTTCAGTAAATGTTTGCACACAAAAGCCTCTTCCAAAAAAGGATTATCCTATCCAAATGTCAACAGTGGCACTGTTGTGAAGCCTTTCATCTAAACATATGAAAGTAACCCACCAAGCTAACAAGCTTTACAGTAGAATTTTTTCCAGCTCCTACTTTGACTAATATACCTTCATAAAAACATGGAAGACAGGTTTTAAATGTTCATTTCATATATTCCTTAGAGTTTCTGCAACAGTGTGGGATCCCTTGGCTCATGGCTTGTCCTGCCCCCGGAGGGACCTCATGTACCTGTGTGTGGACATCACAGACTCCTTGTCCCAGCTCTGTCTATATACCCCCAGATGGCCACCCTTAGCCACCGTCAGGCTGCGGGGCTTTCACACTTGCAGAGCTCTGCCCTCAGGAAGAATGGCTCAGAAAAGAGGCTCGAGCAGGCTCAGGGTCGCTGCAAGAGTGGATTGTACAGTATTCAGAGTATCACTCAAATTGGCATTGTGGTAGGAGTCCAGGATGAGCAATTCCTTTGAGTCAAGGACTAGAACTCACAGACAAAACTGCTTCTTCCAACCATGTAATCTCAAATTGGAAATTGAGTTTTTAATGTGTGGTGATGTGAACTCTTTTCTGAAATTGTAAGCATTTGGCATTTCTCATAGTTATGCATATTAATGCTGTTACAAGATAGCCTCATGTTTTATTTTATAGGTGAAGTAATAATACCTTGAAATATTAAAGTATAAGAGGTTATTTTAAACCTATTAAATCACAGTTAAAGTCATATAATATTAAATTCAAGAATAAAGTCAAAAGACTGGATCTTTCGAAGACTCAGTAAGCTAATTCATAGCAACTGACTCTGTAAAGGGAAATACTGTAAAAATAAAAAATTTTAGTAGTGTAATCATCTGCACTACTTCTTCCACTCTTATCTAAAATTAGAATATTTAAGAAATTTCTCAGAATTTTGAGCACCAAACTTGTTGATGACTTATACATATATCTTTATTAACCAGAATAATTAATTCCTTTTCTATTTTAATAATAAATATCAAAGGAAAAGTCAACTCAATAAAATTTATAAAAATGACAAAACAAATCATCTAGAATCTAATCTTAAATTTGATCATATAAAACTTGAAAAAAATCCTTCCTAAAATTAAAGTATATTTTGTAGGGTTTTGAAAGTAAAGATAAGAATTTATAGAAGCTTGATAAATACGTGGCTTAATATATTTTAGTGTATGAGTTTTAGAAACAAGTGTTTAATTCGGTTTGTATACCTGATTTCTAAGGAAATATTTTCCCTAATATTTTGAAAACCCTAGTTTATATTACTTATAAGAATTGTAGAAATGCTCTGAGAATCTAATACCTGATCATAAGTATAACATGTAAGAAACATTAAAGGGGTGTGTGTGTGTGTGTGTGTGTCTGTGTGTGTGTGTGTATGTGTATGTATGTAAGAGAGATTAAAAAGGAAGGAGGAAGAGGAAAAGAGAGAATAGATTTAGATAGAAGCAACTTTAACCTAAAGGCAAATTTTAAGAGATCAAAAATTCGAAGGCAGTATGCAGTTTGCAGCATGTTAACATATGGGCATCTATAATTTTCTGCCTTTTAAATTTCCTTTATAAAGCATCCTTAATATATTCTTCAGTAAGATTTAGAAATGACAGTCACAGAAACTAAGTTGTAGTCTTGCCATATTGATGTTGTATGGGTTCCATGAAAAATATTTTAAGATACGTGAAAAGGAAATGGTCTTTTAAATTTCATGAAATTGAGAGCACAAACAGCTGGCATCCATGATGCCTATGAAATAAAATAAAACGTCATGTGAATCATTTTGATACCAAGGAATTTGAGCCTTTAGAAAGAATGATAGAGGTGAAACAAACAGAAGTTTCATTTTTTTCATATAAATACATTAATTTTAAATGTTATCTAAAATCTTTTAGCATAATTTTATTTCTAGAATGTTATATAATCACTGCTTGTGAATTTTGTCTTCCAGTCTATTTTTCAGGAGTGTTGAACTGACCAGTTATAGTTATATCTGGGAGAACTACAGACTGTTCAATTTGCCTTGGGATTCTCCTTGGACTTGGTATTTAACATTCTTAGGAGTTGACTTTGGCTACTACTGGTTCCATCGTATGGCCCATGGTAAGCTTGCAAATGAGAACTTTTTGTTAATTTATGTTGAACTGTGTTTGGTACATAGTACATAGTCAGTAAATATTTATTAAATGGATAAATATAGGAATAAAATAGTACATTCTGCAGTATATAAAAGTTAATAATGAAGGTATGCTTTGAAATTTAAGTGGAGAAAATCTGAGGCTGTATTTTTAAAATGATATGAAATGATTGGAAGTACATTTTTTCACTTCTTTTTAATTTTAAAAAAGTTTAGAAAGTGATGGCTATAGCATTGCCTTTTATCATTTATCATCTAGTTTTTAATAAATATTTTAATTTTTATGGTGGTAGCAGTCAGAATCCACACAAGGTCCATCTATTACATTTGGCTGTTGGGGATGAAAGGGTTTTTGTTTGTTTTTAATTTTTTTATTCAATAGATTTTGGGCGAACAGGTAGTGTTTGGTTACATGAGTAAGTTCTTTCATTTTGATTTCTGAGATTCTGGTGCACCCATCACCAAAGCAGTGTACACTGTGCCCAATGCATAGTCTTTATTCCTTGCCACCACCCTCCACCCTTTCCCGAGTCCCTAAAGTCCAGCGTATCATTCTTATGCCTTTGTGTCCTCTTAGTTCAGCTCCCACATGAGTGAGAACATACGATGTTTGGTTTTCCATTCCTGAGTTACTTCACTTAGGATAGTAGTCTCCAATTCCATCCGGGTTGCTGTGAATGTCATTATTTCCTTTGTCTTTACGGCTGAGTAGTATTCCATGGTAAATATATACCACATTTTCTTTATCTACTCATTGCTTGATGGACATTTGGCCTGGTTCCATATTTTTGTGGTAAAAAGGGAACACATTTACACTGTTGGCAGGAAGGTAAACTAGTACAATCACTACGGAAAACAGTGTGGAGATTCCTTAAAGAAGGAAAAGTAGATTCACTGTTTGATCTGCCAGTTGATCCAGGAATCCTACTGGATTCCCACTGGATTCCATTGAGATTTCTGGATCAAATGGTGGATCTACTTTTCCTTCTTTATCCAGGGGAAAAGAAATCATTATATGAAAAAAATACTTGCACATGGCATGTTTATAGCAGCAGTGTTTTTTAATGTATTGTCTTCCATTATTGTTATTATGGCATGCGCTTGATAGAGTCTAAAGATGTACACAATACCAGACTTCACAGCACAATTATCAAGGGTCATTCAGAAGTGCTTTGCAACAGTGTGGAATTCTAAGTGATGCATTCTGTCATAGTAAGCTTCATTCAATTTGTTGGCAGTACTTCCACATTACAAATGAAAATGTAATCAGCTAGGCACTGACCATATGCACTTCACTGTTACCATAGTTTTGCAAAATCTCTCATCTGCAAAAGCTGTCTTACCGCACTGGTTCACTGAATTTGCTTTTTGGGATTCTTGGCAGCACTTCCAAAGAAATGTTTTGTTATAGAAAGGGAAATGGAAGAGTGAGGAACAAATCTAGGACTGAACCTCTGTAGGGATAAGTAGGGGCTGAGGAATGGTTGTAGAGCTCAGGTGAGCAAGTGGTCTCTGAGGAGCAATAAGCATGCCAAAGTATTTCTGAAGGGAAGAGCGGGAAAGTACTAATCTTGAAAAACTACTGCAGAGCAGAACTCAGGATTTCAGTGGGTGGTTGGTTGAGTGGGTGAGGAGGAAGGAAGGAAGAGGAAGGAACCTGGAATGATAATAATAAATAGATGGCAGATGGACAGAAGAGACCAGAGCTCAGGGTGAATAACTGAGCCATCTGTGTAGGAGTGGTGACCAAATATCAATCCTAAGCAAGGATGAAGGAAATAGGAGTAGCATGGATTTGTGTTATGCTCAAGGCTGCTAAACTTTAAATATAGCGTTGTTTATGTTACCCACCTTAAACATGTACATTTAATGAAACTCTACAGAGTTTTAATTTATTTGAACAATTTTAAGTGAATATATAAGTTAGAAAAAGTTCTTAATTTTGTGTGTGATAACCTTCAACTTTGACACATAAGAGGTCAGTTCCTGACATCATTTCCTCATATGTAAATGCAAAGGCTACTCCAAAATCAAACATAATTAAGAATAAAACATGGTTTATATAATACATTTGTGTTTTATTTCAAGCTAGTTTTCTCCCTAAAATAAGCTCATTGGCAATCTTCATTTTCTATGCAACAAAGGGGTATTTCGGAAAGCATTTACTTACTTTCACGAACCTTCCTCATACCACACCGCCTGACACGGATGTGTTTATTTGGGAAATCTGCAAATTTGCTTACTCTTTGAAAGCCCATTATAACAGGAAACAAAGAACCAACAAAATATTACCAACATAAAACTCCTAAAAATAATGTTGATTATAAGTGTTCTCAGTTGGGAAGAGCAATAAAATAAAATAACATATTAAAAATGTGGCATCAAGGCTATTTAAAGTATGCTTCTCATTAGAAATTTTGAACTGAATCCAGTAAAAAAGGCAGGCATTAAAAAAATTTTTGAAAACCTTCTGGAAAAGCATTTACAACCTTCGGGCTATGGAGCCAAATCATAAGTTCAAAGACTTTTGACTTGTAATGGAAAGCTAGTAGGAAAAAAGTAATTTATTTTATTTTAATATATCAACCTTCAATATGATGGTTCATTTTTAAATTTATATGTAAATAATATTGTAAAATATTAAAATAGATTTTCAGAAATCTAGAAACACACAAGTCTAAAAGAAAATAGGGGCTCCAATTTTTTGAGCCTCTTGGATTACTGAGTCCAAATTGAATAACTGGTCAAATTCATTTAATTGAAAAGTTTCAATAATTCTAAAATACTTATGTCATCTTAAAATAGAGTAAGAAAAAAAAATCCCTAATTTTTCTATTCAATGTATTACTTTCCTTTCACTACTGCAAAATGATATAGCAAAAACGTATTTCATATTTGTTAGTATGTTAAATGCTATGAGTTTTGAAGAAACAATATATTATGTATTTAAAATTTTGTCTTTATATGTATTTAAATTGCTTCCTTAGGATTCCAAATTTTTGCTGGATTTGGTGTTGTGATTTGTTTGTATTGCATATATGTTGCGTTTTCTCAGTTATGGGACGATTAGCAGAAAATAGTTTATTCTCAACATTTGCATTCCATCTCTATCACTAATGCCAAGACATTTGAAGTTTTGTATATTCTTTGTATTTGTCTTCTTCCCCTGGAATGAGAAAGAAATTGCTAATTATGGTCAAATTACACGAAATACGAGTAATACAGTGGTTTCTATAGACAGCCTTGATGTTAAATAGAATGTTAAATAGTTCTTAAATTTAAAAAGTAGCTTTGTCGTGTCCTCCTCATCAAAATAATGCATTATTTTTCTTTGTACTTCTTAATTAGTTATACTAAACATGTAAGGAAACAGGTAAAGATTTTTAAGGAAACATTTTTAAAAACTGATAATCATTTCTTGGGAGGAACAAGAATGAGGCCTTCAGGGTGCTGCTAATAAACTCTATCTTGCCTTATGGTGGTGTTTACATGAGTGAATAGATTTGTAAAAATTCATTGAGTTAGTTGTGCACTTAAAATTTATACATTTTCTCTCTATATAAAAAGTTAAATTCATAAATAATGCCACCAGTGTAATTTCTTGGTTTATAGTCCAAAGGCGGAATGCCATAGTAGAGAACTAAATTTAGAAAAATAATACAAGAGGTTGTGATTTGTGACTCTCTATATATAATATGTGACTTTATACATTTTTTAACTGTATCAGTTTCAACAACCAAGTATGGGGAAGTGCCAGCATGCCAGTTATTAATTTATTGCCTCTCATCTCCAAATCTATTCTTCTTTAACATTCCTTGTATTACCAAAGCTGCATGCTGTAGACATTTCTCTTTTGTCAGCTGACTTGATGTTAGACTTTGCCAATTTAAGGGGCTGGAGGTACACTGCAAATCCAGAAGATGAGAAAGAGACTTTGCCTCCACTTTCCATCATGCTATTTTTTGTCTGGCACTTAAAAGTTTGATATGTGAGGGTTCTGATACTCTTCACCTCTTGCTCAGCTTTAGCCTATACCCTCTGGGAAGATTCTCTGCCATTCAGGGGGCCACACCAAAAAACCAGCTGTAACTCATACACTCTGGGACCTACATGCTCTATTTAGTAAATTTCTCTGTCACCAACAGAGTTCCAGTGGTAGCCACAACCTCTGCAGAGATGTCTGAGTGCATGAGTGGTGGTATGAGTGTGTGAGTACATGTGTGGGACTCTTCTAAAGGTTTAAGTACCTGCTTGGTTCTCTCTCCCTCAGCTCTGTAGGCAGTAGCTGCATTCTGTGGTTGCTACTTTTCTAACATTGAATTCCTTCATCCTTATGTCTTTAGTAGTTAAATCCCTCTTTACCAGTTAATATACCAGTTCTGTATATTAACTTTTCCTTATTCAAGTTGCTAATGTGGTTTCTGTCTCCTGATTGGACCCTAACCAATACAGGCAGCCTCGTCATATATTACATAGAATAACCAATGTGAGTTTTCATATGAAAAAAGCTCAACAACACTAATCATTACAGAAATAAAAATCCAAACCACAGTAAGGTACCATCTTACACCAGTCAGAATGACTACCATTAAAAAGTCAAAAAATAGCAGATGCTGGCAAGGTTGCAGAAAAAAAGGAGTGCTTATACGCTGTTGGTGGGAGTGCAAGTTAGTTCAGCCAATATGGAAAGCAGTTTGGAAATTCCTCAAAGAACTTAGAATTATCACTTGACACAGCAATCCAGTTATTGAGTATATACCCAAAGAAATATCAATTGTTCTATTATAATGACACGTTTGTGTATGTTCAGTGCAGCACTATTCATAATAGCAAAGACATGGAATAAATATACATGCCCACCAAAGGTAAAGTGGATTAAAAAATGTATATATATGCTATGGAATACTATGCAGCCATAAAAAAGAACGAGGTCATGTCCTTTGCAGCAACATAGACAGAGCTAGAG